CCTTCGGATATTTAAACACAACCATCATGTCAGCCTTCTCTTCCCCAGGCTAAGCAGGCTAACCAGGGATTTTCGAGATCTGTTGTCCATTTCCAAGCTGTGGAGATGAGTGAGTGTGGGAGAAATTTTCAAAGTACAAATTTTCAAAGTACATTGATGCTCAGTTCTTGTCATCCTTTCTCCCAGCTGCTTCGGTTTCAATGAAAAGCAGCCTTGGAAGGCAGATTCAAGAGCATCCCTGGATGGTTGGGCTTAATCTTTTCCATCTGCTATTTGCCTGGTCAAGATTATACTTCCCCAAGCCATTTTACTATCGGACTCCAAATGGCAAGGATGGGCAGTGGAACTGTACATTTCTGTTGGGCATGTCCTCATTTTCCGTTGGTCCTTGACTATGCTATTTTGGGCTGATTCTGGCCGTTGTAGTTGAAAGAGATGACTTTTCTAAGCTCTAGTTGGTAGTATGGAAACATCTCTACTTGCAATTGATACTTCAAGCTGAGGAATCTTGCAGCCTTTTCTGGACAGGGTCATCAAAGTCCAGTGGTTGCACCTGGTAACGGTTCTATGGGATGGCAATCATACCGCTTGAAGTTCTTGGACTGTAGCTCCCAGCATTCCCCATCATTGGCGATAGTGACTGGGACAGATGGGAGTCGCTGAGATCCAAGAGTACCTCAAGGTTGGTGCAATTGCCATCCCTGCTGCATCCAAGGCCCTGAGTCTGGTGCCAACCAACAAGTCTCTCCTCCTATACTTGCTTTCTTGTACCGTCCGTTGGCGGCAATTCCTTCCAGAGACGCTGCATCAGCAACCTTCCTTGCTGACTCTGCTGTGCAAAGCATCTCCTGGCACTGGGGTTTCTTTTCTTTTCTCTGCCACTTTTCCGAAAGCACAGGCGACGAGGTGTGCGGCCATCTGCTGCTTTCTCTCTTGGCCATCTCTGGGGAGGCGAGACACATTGTGAGCCGGATGCTTCTGAAGTCCTGAGAAGTGCTGGCCATGGGGCTTGGAGGATGCACTTTCCCATCCTCCTCCTCTGTGACATGGGGCAGTGTCCATACCTCCTTTTTTGGGGGGGATGCAGGGGCATGTCAACCTAAGCTTTTTTAATGCATTTAGTAGGAGTATCCATCCCTCTTCTGAACTTCTGCAGAAGCTTTCAAGGTTGGCATGAGAGGCGGAGGAGACCTTCATGTGAAAATGCTCAGCATTTGGGAGTTAATGCACAACGCAAGGCGTTCAATGCAGATGGAGGAAAAAGGCACCACCTTTGCGACAAATGTGGCTGTTTCCCCCGACTAATAATGAAATCCTTGCTGTTGTTGTATGGCTGTTGTTTCTGATTTATGGAAACCCTCATTTATTGGCAAGTTTCTTCACAGGTTTTTTTGCCATTGCCATTCTCTGAAGCTGAGAGAGTGTGACCTGCCTAAGATCACCCTGTGGCTTTCCATGGCTGAGCTGGGATTCGAACCCTGCTCTCCAGAGTCCTGGTTCAGTGCTCAGACCACTACACCGTGCTGCCTCACATGTGACTCTTACTTTGCAGGAATTGTTAAAAACCCACTTCCTAAACTATGAAGTGTTAAAAAGTCTGACAGGTCAAGTTGACTGTGCAAACCTTGTATGTCTTTGGCTCTCCAGGGCTGAATCTCCCTGTTCTTTTTTTTAAAAAATAAATATCCCTGTATTCAGTTATTATTATTATGCCCATTTTCAAAATTATTATTATGGTTCTTTATATTTTATCCTTTATATTTTATATTCCTGGCAATAAAAATTCAAATAGAAAAGAGGCTCAGCATAAAATGAAAGGAGAAAAAGGAATCCAGCCCTGGAAGCGACCAGCCTTTATATCCAAATTTTGTGCATATAAATTTTGTGCTTTATCTATGAATTCAGCAAACGATCCTTGCCTTCCTTCCAATCTGGGAAATGTTTGCTGAACAACGGGAAGCATCTCTTTCACTCCTTAGATACTTCCCCCCTCCAGACTTTATTTTTGTAGGTTTTAGCTGCTCTTTATTCTACTCTGAGACACAGTCGAATCCATTTTGGCTGGAACTGGGTTCCAATCCGGGAACACTAGTCTGTGATCTGGATTTTTGGAGTGCTTTGGCCTTGTATTAACATGGCAATAATGGATTTACATAGTAGGGGATTCGAATCCTGGTTTCTCAAAGTCATAGTCCGTTGCTCAAACTGCTACGCCATGCTGGCTTCTGAAGCTTTTAACTTTACCAGTTGTTCAATTGTTTTGTAATGGACTTTTAAATTTTTAATTCTTTTAATTGACATTTTTGAATAGCTTTCAACTGTATTGTTTGT